ATGTGATAAAAGATTTAATTAATAACACGTAATCGCATCATGTCGTCATATAGACATAGGATAACTAATTTATTCCCACCAACCCGGGGAATAAATAGTATTTGAAATCCGATGATAGATTTTCCTTAGACAGCACTAAGAAAATAAATTGAACACAAAATATAATTGAAAGCTAGAATGTGGGGTTTCCCTTGACGGCACTCATATTATAAAAAATTGTTCTTAATTTGTATTACACATATTTTTCGTGTTATGCTTTTTATCATTCCATTTTTATCATGTGACATCGTTCTTATGATTCATTTCGTCATCTTTATCATGTGACATCGTTCTTAAAATCATTTCGTCATCATTATCATGTGACATCGTTCTTATGATTCACTTCGCTATCTTTATATATTACAAATTAAATTTATGAATATGCTAAAATAGTAATATTAATTTATTAGTATAACGTAACGACGTAATTTTTGAAATTGAATCGTTATAATTATTAAGGTTTATTAAGTTAGACCCATATATATTTGATGCATCAAAGGTATTGACCCATGTAAAATGTTGTGTATTAAAGACTTATAGGTTGCTATTTAAATTAAATAGAGACGATGCTTATTGTGGGTTTGGAGAAACAATTACACCTAAATACGGAGCAAATTAAATAATTAAATTAGAGAGTTTATTAGCAAAATTAGTACTTTAGTGTACCAAAGCTTTTTTTTATTATATTCAGATTGATCCAGAACATATTTTAACTCCAATTTAGAAAACGATTACTAAATGTAATGATCGTATATATTACAACAATCATTTGGTCGAAACGGAGATTCATCTTTTTCAATTATGCGTTTTATACCAATCGATCAATCCGATGAACCAAGATATAGGGTTACCTTTAATTATAATTATCCGACAACTCTTGATATCAAAGATAATATATTAATTGACGATAATGATCCAAAATCAGTTATAAAACATGTAATTTCAAGAATTAAACAATTACGTCCACCTTGTGAATTAACAGATGTAATGATTGAATTATACTCGTTGGTTCCGCTTTCTCATCCGGGTGAAAATTATCCATTTAGAACGTATAACCCTCCACGACGTCGTCAACTTCGTGATGTTGATCCATTATCTGTCCCGCCTTGGAAAGATGATAGAATCATTTTGTTAGGCGATTCAGCTCATGCTATGAATCCACTATTAGGATTAGGTTTGTGTTTATTAGAAATGTCATTATAAATAAAATTTAATTAGTATTTATTTTCATATATATGTATATATTTTTTTTAAGGTGTAAATAATGCATTACAGGACGCCGACCTTTTGACCAAGGAATTACTTAATTATGAGAATGACAATTTAACCTCGTGCATTCAACGATACAACGAACAAATGCGAACTCGATCATCTAAAGATGTTATGACATCACGTAGCAGAGTACTAAGGCAGCGAAATCCAGTGGGAAATTTTGGACTATTTGTTAGATATTTGATTTATAAAATCAATAACCTTTTCATTAACATTATTGTATTTATTAAAACTCGTACTTAACTTATTGTCTGAATCAAAAGTTACGTTTTTTGATTAACCTTACATTAGCTATTATATAGTTAATTATATAATCGTATCAGCAAAGTTTTGAAATTCATGTGTGTCTATATTTGTACTCTCCAACTCAAATCGATATCCCATAAAATTGTAGCACAGGGTTATGTTCCCAGAACATAGCAATCGTGTAAATAATCGTGATCGTACGTACATAAAAGTTTAAATACTGATACAGTAATCATGTACTGTCAAAAGCAGGTTTAATAAAGAATTTCAAACTTTTTCTTGTGCTTGTGGTTAGAAAACAAACCAAGCAGCAGTAAAGGCCCGTAGAAACTTAGATCAATATACTATGAGTTCTGGCAAAAATTTTACAATTTTTTTATCTAGAAAAATATTGTAACCGTTGATGGGAGAGCTTAATATAATAGAATTGTGTAGATTAGGGATGGGAACGGCTGGCTTTCGGCTGGCTATTATCGGCTAGCCGCTCATAGCCGGCTAGCCGCGACTAAATAGCCATCAATTATTTGATTAATTACTTCATCAAATATCTAAACCAATTGTATGTTGGCTTAATAATTGTCATGGCTGATGCTGATTTTGGCTCAGCAAAAGGCGATTTCTTGCAAATTTTTTTTTGTTTTAATTTGTTATGTTACACCAATTTTCGTCGATCATCACGTGATCTCACATCGCCAAAAAAAATATCGTCCAATACTATTTACTTTGCACACTTATTTAAAAATGGCATTTAGTTAGTACCGCTACATCTTCCCCAGTATTGCCATCAAAAATGGCACTTTCACGTGACTACCTAAAAAAACTTTTAAGTTCGTTTATGTTAGGGTTAGCGTTTAAACTAATGTTAGATAATGGGGTAGTATAGTAAAATTACTCAAGAAATTTTTTTTGTTAATGGTGGTATAGTAAAATTATTCAAGGAATTTTTTTTAATGTTAAGGTGACCACTTAGGGGTTTGGCACATTTTATTAACTTTATAGTTCGAATGCCAGAGTAACTACTATGTGAGCACACCCGACTTTGTTACATTAATGTAAGTATTATTACCCTAATTAACTTAGCACTGTCAGATATTCTCTCTGAAGAGGAATTGTCATGAAAGCCTCTTAGAACTTTAAAGCAGACACATACTACTATATAGGGAGTCTTTTATCTTTGTGATAAATCTACTAGAGTAGTTCATGTTTCACACATGTATTATCTAGATTTTCAGTAACTTATGCCTAGGCCACAGCCAAGTATTTGTGGTTTTTTACATCTGCTACCATTACTTACTTCTTGTTCTTGCAAAGTTTACCTAAACCTCAGCATCTACTTTATGGACTATTAACGATACTTTGATGCCAACCATTGGTGTTCCAAACTTCTAATCTAGATGGTCCAGTGGGTGTCCCCTGGTATTTTAAATGAATCATTTTTCCTCAAGTTATCTGGAGGCCTAGTTGATATAGTGCTTGTCAAACATTCAGTCTTCATTTAGTTTGTCTTCAGTGTCTGGTTTTCTAAATAATAATCTTTTATGTAGCATCATCAAAAATCTGTTACTTCCTACTCAGAACTTTCCAAGCAAGCTTCCATATCTCCTGATTCCTTGAATTAATTTGGCTGTTTCACTTGGAATTTGTGTAACTTATGCATTATACTATATTCTACAACCTCCCAATATAAGTTGGTGAGGCCAAGGTTATAGGTGCTAACTTGATCGATATATTATACAGTTTGCCATAACACATTTTACAAATTCGAATCTTATCACCCAATGAACTCTTTTCGACAATCACTTGGACCAAAATTTTTTAAAAAACTTTTATTGAAAAAACAAAAATATCTGGACTAGCCTATGAGACGCAGGAAAAGGGATCATAAGAACAGCAGCTATTATTTAGAGATAGTTCTTATACGCTACCTGCTAATAGCTTCAGAGTTTATCACTTACTG